CCACTATCAAGAACCCAATGCCTTCCTCCGGCTTTATAATTAACCTACAAAAGAAGATCAATTCTTTTTAGGTACTCAAACTTGCTTGGGTCCTTGAAGGTTAGTCACTAAGCTCTTTGGTACCCAAATGGCTTTCTTCTTTGAGCCCATCCATGGTTTACCAATGAACTTAGCCTTCACATCATTTGTACCCTTAGTAAGCATATAGCATGAATCAAGCTTAAGGGAGGATACATTAGCATTTTTGCTCTTATTGGTGCATTCATGCTCTTTATGACCTACTTGCTTGCAACTAATGCAAAACCGACCATTGTTCTTCACAAAACAAGTCTTGTGAGGAACAAATGCCACCTTGTCTTTCTTGGGGGTATAGACCAATCCCTCTTTGTAGAGAGAAGCTCTTTGGCTACCCAAGCACATAAGCAAGCGGTCCTCACCACCATAGGCCTTAGCCAAAGTGTGAGTGAGCTTGTTGACCTCCTTCTTGAGATTCTCATTCTCAACCATTAGTGAAGCATCACAAGTGAAACCATCACTACTAGATGCGGTGGAAATAGAAGTACTACAAGAAGGGTTAGTGGGAGCAATAATGATAGGCACAGATAATAATTCATCAATTATATCACAAGTTAAACCTACATTGCAAGTTTCAACATGTTTCTTTTTATTTTGCTCATCAAGCAAAGAAGAATGAGCTTTTTCAAGCTTCTTGTGATCCTTGCCAAGCTTCTCAAGGGCTTCCTCTTGCCTCTCATGAGATGCATTGAGCTCATCAAAGGCTTGCTTAAGGGCTTTAATTTCCTTACGCAAGCTTTTGCATTCTCTTCTCTTAATGTCAAAGTGTTCTCTAGCATCTTCTAGCATGTCAAATAATTCATCTTTAATAGGTTCATCATTATCACTATCACTATCACTATCATTCTCATTTTCATGTTCATTTTCATCATGTTCTTCATCACTTTCATCATCACAAGATTGTACCTTAGTGGTCTTAGCCATGAAGCATGATGAAGATTCGAAGAGAGAAGGCTTCTCATTTATAGCAATACTTGCAAGTGCCTTTTTCTTGGTGGTCTTGTGATCATCACTATCATCATTATCACTTGAGGAAGCATCACTATCCCAAGTGACCACATATGAACTACCCTTCTTCTTGAAGGTCATCTTGTCCTTCTCTTTCTTTTTCTTCTTCTTGTTTTTCTTCTTGTCATCATCATTGTCGCTATTGTATGGACATTGAGCAACAAGATGATCTTTGCTTCCATACTTGAAGCACCTTCTTGACTCTTCTTTGTTCTTGAATGAAGACTTCTTTCTTCTAGCACGGTAGCCCTTCTTCACCATGAACTTGCCAAATCTCTTAACAAAGAGAGCCATCTTCTTATTATCATCTTCCCATGAATCATCTTCTTCACTAGATGTTTCTTGCTTAGCTTTGCCCTTGGATGATGTGGCCTTGAATGCCACGCTCTTCTTCTTGTCATCCTTCTTCTCATCTTTTTTGTCCATCTTTTCTTCCTTCTCATCATCCTCACTAAGTGTCTTGATCACCAAAATAAAATGGCTTCTACAAATTATACCTTTGCCTTGAGCTTTATGTTTTTCTCTTTCTTCTTTCCAAGTCGAAGCACTTGATCATCACCATGGCATCACCATCATCATGTTATGATCTTCATTTGCTTCACCACTTGGAGTGCGCTACCTATCTCATGATCACTTGATAAACTAGATTAGCATTTAGGGTTTCATCAATTCACCAAAACTAAACTAGAGCTTTCAACCTTTAACACTCTCCTTTTCATTCCCACTCGTTTGTAACCTCACGGCAAACTTCGAGCACTTGGGCTCAGGAATAAAATCACCAACCGACTGAAACTGGACGTAGGGCACGTTGCCTGAACCAGTATAAACCCTATGTCATTGAGTTCTAGGCCACATCTGATCACAACGTACGTCAAAACTATAAATATTTACCTATTGGTCACTTTTCGCACCGACAGTTACACTAAATGATAAAATGAATATGTTAAGGTCATGGTTTAATTTCTAAGTTTATTAGATCTCGCCAATTTTAAAATTAACGATGTCTATTGTTGCGTAACTTTTTTCACTATCTTTGCATAAAACTTTTATGCGAAGCGATGACAAAAGTGTAGTGAGATAGTAATAGTGTGTGACTAAACTATCTACCATTAGCCTAACAAATCAATCATCTTCATCCATTTTTTTTTTTAGTATTTGAATTCCCGAGTCGACTTTCGATTAGTAATCAGTCACATCGCGCACTGAAGATAACGACCTCAAATGCAAAACTCAAAACTATAAATTTGTAGACACCATCGATGGCTATAACTTTCATATAGAAAGTATCTCAATTTGACGCCATATAAGAAAGATATGATTTTTTCAAGACGACAAACGCTCGTACGTGATTAATACGATGCTGAAACTTTATATTATTATTTTTTAAGTATCTTAATGATCTCAAATGCAAAAACCCAAAACTATAAATTTGTAGATCCCACCGAGAGCTATAACTTTCATATAGAAAATATCTCCATTTGACACCATATAAGAAAGATATGATTTTTTCAAGACGACAAGTGCATGTACGCGATTAATATGAAGCTAAAACTTTATATTATTTTTTTAAGTATTTTAATGATCTCAAATGCAAAAACTCAAAACTACAAATTTGTAAATCGCTTGTACGCGATTAATATACTGTTGAAACTTTATTTAATTTTTTGAGCATCTTAACGACCTCAAATGGAAAAACTCAAATATAAAAAGTTGTAGATCTCGTCGAGAACTATAATTTTCATATAAAGATCATCTTCATCCGAGATCGTATGAAAAAGATATAATTTTTTCTAAGGTTGCGCCTTGCCACGCCCGTCTGGATGGCAGTGGCCACGCCCGCCTGGTGCTACAGTGCTGCCGCCCAATGGCAGTGGCGCGGCAATGATTTCCACGTGAAAATCGCTGTCCGACGTTGCAGATCGTGCAGCGCCGATGCCTGTGGCACGGCAACGTGTTTTGGCCACGTCACAGACTTTGACGCGGCCAAAAATGTTAGATTTGAAAATAAAAAAGTTACAATATTAGATTTGGAATTCGTTTTAGAAAAAGATTAAAAATAAAAAAAATCACGCCAGGCACATGGAGTCTTTCGTACGTATACTCGCGTGCCCCAGCCTCGCGACTAGCCCTAGCGCCGCCGCCGCCATCACTGTCTCTACCATCGCCGGTCCCCCTCCCTTCCCCTCCGATATCTCACCGGATACTGGAGGGGTAGAATTCCACTGTTTTTTATAAGTTTGTTAGTAGATCGAGTCATTGGGTTAAAGTCTCTTAATACCAAATTTTTGTTATTGAAGTTTTAGGGCATGTTTGGAACGTATGAATTTTACAGGAATAGCTTAGGAATTTCATAGGAATCAGTTCAATTTCATAGGAAAAACGCATGAATAGGAAAAAATTCCCGCGTTTCAAACATGCCCTTATCTCCTCCTCTCCAGCGATGGAGAGTGAGCACGGTGGATTCGCTTTTCTCCACGGCGGCTCTGTTGAAAATGAGGATGGCAACTACGGCGTCAGCCACTTCATCGGCATGACGACATGGAGACTTTTTCTTTCCAAACGGTAACATTAAGGACTAAGTAGAATTTGCTCCGGTCTCTTCTCCGTTTTGTGGTAGTTAGATCTGTCCATGATAAAGGACTAAGTAGAATAAGTTTCAGATCATGACAGGAAGAAGAAGGAAGACACAAGAAATAAGAAGTTTCTCAACACTGTCTGCAGAAATATTGGCCGTCGTTCGTTGGCCATTTGTTCTCAGGCCTTTTGCCGAGCGTTTGCATGTGTCGTCATCCATAAGAAGCGTCATATAGGTTTGGATTTGAGATTTAGAGCTATTCACAGCATGGTTACTATGTAGATGAAAATCAGTTTCTGGATATATGTAGTGTATTCCAGAATGCTTGTAACGTGATGATGTAGCCAGCTATCATATAATATAATTCACCTTTCGTCTAAAAAAATAATACCCTCTCAATTTCAAATTTAAGACCTTTTAGCTTTTTCTCTGGATACTTAGATATACACTATGTCTAGCTATATAAAAACTCATGTATATACTTCCTTTGTTCCAAATTATAAGTCACTTTGACTTTTCTAGGATGCCGAATTTGATACGTATACTGAGACACATGGTAAATTGGATGTACCAAAAAAAAGCTAAAAAAGTGATTTATAATTTAGAGCAAATGGAGTAGAAAAAGTTTATCTGGCTGGCTGGCTGGGTTGGCCAGCCCCCTCACATGAATACTATTCACATGAACCATCCAGCAGTACTTCTCTCTTACATAAACGAACCAGCAATGATACGAACCAGCCAACCGAACAGGCTGTATAATTTGGAACGAATGGTACATGTGGTTAAAATAAAAAATCATTTGTCTTTTTAGAAAAGTATATATTTCTACTTTTTTAGGAAAAAAAACGACCTCAACTCCTCAAGGCTTACGACCACCCATTTTTACACGCTACGGATGCCTTTATCTGATCCGCATCAGCCAGGGAGAGCGTGACGTGTTGGCAAAGGTGAGCTCCATGATATGCAGTTATTGTGGTGTGTGCCGGCACAAAATCTTTAGCGAACACTGATTGAACTGTGCGCAAGTGGTACAGAGGATTGGGAAATCGACGTCGACGACGTGCCTACGGCGATGCGATGGCCGGATCTGTACAAGAAAGGGGTGGCGGCACATCCTCAGTTATTGAGTCGTCACACGATCGTTTTTTTTTAGAAAAGGAGTCACACTATCGATTCAACATGTATATTTGCAAAATTGAACTGAACAAAATTTAACATCCTTTAGCATCCCTTAGCAGTATATTTGGAAATTTGCAGCACATCCTTTAGCAGTTTAACTGAACACAAAATTTGGAAGTATATTTGTTCCATGGAAGGTATATGTATCACATCCGCCGGCAGATCAACAATGCAGCGCTTTCTTGATGTTGCCCAACGTGCAGAACACCAGACGCGTTACGGCCTTCACCGCATCCGTCGGGAGCGCAGCATCCGTCGCCGACGAGCCAGCCAGCGCCTGGAACACCAGGGTGACCAGCGACCCGGTGGACTCCACCGCCGTCCTGCCCTCCTCCTTATCCTTCCTCGACGTTGTCACCGCCGGCCTGGCCTCCCGCCCGTGCGGCATCACCACGAAGCCGCACGGCAACACGGCCACGGTGCTGGAGTCGTCCCCATAGACCACCGGCTGCAGGACCGCGGCGTCGATAGGCGCGTACGTGATGGTCGACTCACAGGGGCTGGTGCTGCTGTCCTGGAGGATCCACTTGCCCCTCAGCTCCTCGGCGGAAGGTTCCACGGCCTGACGCACGTCCGAAAAGCAGCAGTGTGAGCGTGACTCACATAAGTACATGGCATGATTGGAGTGGTTCCGTCGGAGACGAGCTGAAACTTACGTATGCCGTGACGCGGTTGCCGCGGTCCTCCCCCTTGCGCACAGTCACGTAGCTCTGGACAGATTGTCCAGGCATCATCAAGTCCCACTCGTGGCGCCGCGACTCGTCCGCCAGGAAACCGAAGAGAGCCGCCGGCTTCACCGGCAGCCGCTCCGACAGCACCACGCAGGCGATCAGCCCCCGCGGCTCACCGGTGCTCTTCCGGCACATCACCCGGATCTCACGGGTGCCGCCGTGGTTCGACGCCTTGCTCCACGCCAGGTCCCTGGAGGCACCGATGACGCGACAGAGGCTGGATGTCATCCGCTGCGCGAGCTTCAGGACGCTCTGCCTGCCTGACAGTGTGGCGACCCCTGCACTTGCACTGTGTCATTATCATTATAGTCTGCGTGCACAGCATGAGCAACGCTTACTTACTGTTTAAGCCCCATGTCGGGACGTTGGTCGCCACCGAGAAGACCATCCTCTCGCACTGCAGACCGAGTGCCGCCACCCATCGCCTCGCACCGAACGCCAGGCTGCTCGCGGTCACCGTCCGGTACGCCGACGGAACCGCGGCCTCGCGGCATTTGACATGCTCAACCCAGGTAACCTGCAGGTTCGCACGCCACGAATGAGTGAATCCTTAGTACTTCCAAGGTGCATGCAGTTCGGTCGAAGATTTGTTCGAACCATGTCGCGTTCGTGGAATCGCGTTACCTTGCAACAACGGCCGAGGCTCTGCTCTTCTACAATGCATCCTGAGGGCTTCTTCAAGCACATGCGAAGCGTCGACGACGTTTGTGCGCCCGGTTCAAAGTTGTCCAAGGAGACATCGACGATAGCCCATTTGTTGGTACCAAGCTTCTTGCAGTGGCGAAGGAAGTGCAGCTCCCTTGTAGGTACCAGTGGTGTCAGCGTCTGCACCTCTGCAAACATCTGAAGCCAGCAATCGGTCAAGCTATTCTTATGTAGACAGATCGTTCCTCGATCAGGAGGATTACATTGTGAAGGATTTGTTGGATTACCAGTTGCACAATTCCGTCTCGGTGATCGTTGTCGCCTGCACGGATCACTTCCAGCGTCGCCGCCTTGGTGATCATGGAAGGAAACATCTCCTTCCACTGGTTCTGCACAAAAGTTCAGGGTTTCGAGATGATAATTAATTCTCTGATTCAGTGTAGTGTGCAGGAAGATTGATGGTACTATACCACATCCACGAAAGCGCCCACAAGCTTCGTCGCGTTACAGTACATAACGCCAGTCTCCCTTGACGTCTCAACCGACCACACGCCCCGCCGGTCGCCGGAGTCATCGTCGTGGTGCCGGAACAAGCGCGCGTACTCGTCGCAGCTCAGGACGTCCCGGCCGGTCCCGACGCTGCGCACCCAGAGTGGCTGCCCGGAGGAGCACATCGTCGTCAGCTCGTCCAGCGCGCGGCCGGCAAGCTCCAGGAACTTCGTCTTGTCGTGGCCAACGTCGTCCAGCGAGTTCCTGCTTCTGATCTGGATGCCCCACGTAGAGCACGACGGCGAGGTCGAGAAGGCGGCTGCGTTGTCCCCCCTGCGGAGCCTCTCAATCTGTTTGGCACGGTGGTGTTCCACGCCCGCCGTGTGTCAGTGTTTGCAACCACGCGCAGGGGCTAAAGAGTTGAGTTGGCAAGATGGCGGCGCATGCAAACCTCGGCTTTGAGCTTGGCGTTCTCCAGGCGCAGCAGCTGCCCTTGGCTGCGTAAGGATTTCTTGATGAGCTCTCGCATGACGCGGTTCTCCTCCCGGAGCTTCTCCAGGTCGGGCTTGAGCAGCGAGTTCTCATGCCGCTCCTGAATTACCTGAACATACGAAGCAAAGAAAAAAAAAAGGTACTGTAATAGTCTCCATGACGCAGTGCAATCAGAGGTGCAGAGATCGGCATGCATGTAGTGCGTTAAGCTAATTTACCTTGGTCTGACATCGCCGGTTCTGGAACCAAAACTTCACTTGGCTTGCAGAGAGGCCGAGCTGTTCGCTGAGCTGCTGCCGCTGCGTCTCGTCAGGATGCGGCGATTCTTTGAATGCTCTGGTCATTTGATCAAATTCAGGAACAAAAAAAAAAAAAAAAACACATCACTATCTCAGTTAGCACTGATCTGCAGGACCGGACCTCAGTTTAGTTTTGTTTGATGATGAGTACCAGTGTCCCGTATGGCACAGCCGAACAGAACAAAACACCCGTGCGGAACTATCCTAATACCCCAAATTTCTTGCCGTATCATGGGATTTTGGAGCTCTCTAGCCCAAGGCCTTGGCAGGCCGGCCCAAAAAAACACGGCACATTGGAACGGAGAGAATGGTGACACGAATCCATGGCGGCTCTGAGTCGTCTTCCTCTCCCCCAAACATTCTCACACCAATCTCTCACGTCTACCGCAGTCTACTCCTCAGAACATTCCTCCCAAGATTCCTCCTCATCCTCATGAGATTTCCAATCGTTGAGCGAGGCCTCACGACAGAGGATGACGAGGAAAGGTTATGAGTTCTTGTTTGTTTCCACATTGCATGAATTCAAACACACAGTGTTGGTTATTTATTGGGCAACCAAGGAGAAAAATAAACTGAAATTTCTGTCTGAGCAATGCAAATTCTGTTCAAATAGTATTGAACCTATCTTAGCTAGAGGAGACTTTAACATAATTATATAATATAAGCTAAGGAAAGGAATAAGAACAATGGTGTCCATAGATATTCTGGGATGTTTACCCTTATCCACTTCCATGAGTTAAGGGAGTTGATGATGACTGATGGTTTATACACATGGTCTAATAATCAGGACTTTCCAACTTTAGAAAAATTGGATAGAATTTTAGTCTCTGAAGAGTGAGAAGATAACTTCCCATATGCTATTGCTAAAAGGCTTCCTAGAGAGGTATCTGACCATAACCCTCTTATCATTTTCTCTGGTAAATCTGTAAAGCATATACACTTCATATTTTATTAGTTGAGTTGGCTGAATAATCCTGATTTTCATGATTTAGTGAAAAAGTTATGGTCACAACCTTGCAAAGCAAAACCAGCTTTGGATAAGATTCAGTAGAAATAAAACTATTTAAACAATACTTCAAAGACTGGGGCTTTAATTTGTAAGGTGATATAAGGACGAGAAGGAAAGACATTCAAAAGGAATTAACAAAACTGGAAAATACTAAAGAAGTAAATGACTTAGTAAATGAACAAATAAAAAGGAAACGTGGTTGCTTAGTGAAAATCTAAACTTACTAGAACAAGAGGAGTTATATTGGTAGAATAGAAGTCATGATAATTGTTACTTAAATGAGATCGTAATACTAGTTTCTTTTCATAAGATTGCTAGTGGAAGAAAAAGAAAGAACTCAATTTTAATTCTAGAAAGAGATAAGAATTTAATTGAAGGAGACAAAAATTTGTTAACACGTGCCACTGGATATTACACTAAACTATTTGGCCCTACCCTTGAGTTCAATATTCAAATGAACAACAACATCAGGGATGAGATCGAGTAGTCATCTGAATCAGATAATGAAGATCTATGTAGACCCTTCTCTGAATCAGAGACCAAGGCTGCTTTGTTCCAGAGGGAGAGGAATAAGGTGGTTGTCCTAGATAGTATTCCTATTTCTTACACAAGTTGATAACAAAGACTCTAACTATAAGACTTGAGCTATATGCTAAAAAGTTGATACACCCAGCACAAAAATGCTTTTATGAAAGGGAGGAATATTATGTCTAATGTTATGTCTTTACATGAAATCCTCCATGAGACTAAAAGGAAGAAACAACTAGGCATAATTCTCAAACTAGACTTTGAAGAGGCTTACGACAAAGTCAACTGGAATTTTTTATTTAAATGTTTAGAGGCAAGAGTTTCTTTTCAAGAAATGGTGTGAATGGATTAAACAAGTGGTCTCTTATGTGACAATAGCGTAAGGTTGAAAACATCACATACCTATACATCGAAAACCATAAGAGAGTAATGTAAGGAGATCCTTGTCACCCATTCTCTTCAATTTTGTTGCTAATTGTTTGACAAGAATGGTCCTTAAAGCCCAAGCTAATGGCCTGATAACTAGACTCATTGACCATATCATTGTTGGTGGTGTTGGCCATCTTACAGTACACGGGCCACGATAATATGCTTGAAACATGATCAGGAAGGTGATAGGAATATGAAATTATCATTGTACATGCATGAAACGATGGCTGACCTGAAAATCAATTTTAATAAGAGCGAAATCCCAATGATAAATGATCGTGAGAACCAGGGTCCGTTTTATGCCGACATCTTTAACTGTCAAGTGTGCTTTCTCCCTAAATACTTAGGAGTCTCTACAAGTCCTAGTAGGTTTAATATCATTGACTGGCTTCCTTTGGAAGAAAAGAATGTTAAAAGATTAGATGTGTGGAAAGGTGTCACCATGTCTATAGCTAGCAAGTCCACTATGATAAGTGTCAGTTTGAATAATTCACCAATTTATCACATGTTCATTTACCTGTCACCCAAAACAGTTATCAAGAGGCTTGATAAGGTCAGAAGGACTTTCTTCTGGCAGGGGGAGGTATAAAGAGAAAATATCATCTAGTAAAATGGACCAGAATTTGTAAAAGTAAGAGGAAAGGGAGTTTGGGCATCAAAGATGTTAAAAAGATGAATTTAAGTCTTTTTATGCAAATGGTGGTCGAAATTCTAAAAAGAAGATGGCTCATGCCAAGACATTATCAAATTTAAATACATAAAAGAGAGATCCATTAACTTTGTGAAACCTAGACTTAATGATTCCTTTGTTTGGGTAGATCTTTTAAAAGTAAGATGCGTTTGTATGCAAGGTAGATCAATCAAAATTTTAAAATAGAACGAAAACACAATTTTGGCAAGATGCTTGGCTCTATGATAAAGCTCTCTGTGATTTGTTTGCTTGCTTATATAAAATTTATGATGAGAAGGATATTGTGTTAGTCGGGTAAAAGTTGAGAAGCTTCAAATTACTTTTAGCAGATGGCTTATTGACGAGTTGAGAAACAACTATAATCAAATTTGCATCAACATGATGATTTTTTAGCTTCTATATGAGCAAGATGTTGTCCCTTGGAAGCTTGAAAGCAATAAAAAGTTTTCAGTGAAGCCCCTTTACAATGCCTTAATAGTTAATGGTGTTGGACCAACTTATAATAATATTTGGAAAGGGAAAATCCCAAATAAAATCAAGATCTTCTTATGGTTAGTTGAAAATAATGTTATTCTGACTAAAGACAACATGAGTAAAGGAATGTGTCTATGGGGGTAGGGGTCCAAACTGTTATTTCTATGACCAAATGGAAAGTATCCCACATTTGTTGTTGACTTGTAACATGGCCAAGATTTTGTGGACAATCATAGCTTAGGCTTTGGAGCAAGCAATGTTCATAGAGAGCTACACCAAGCTTGGAAATGGTGTAATCTCTAGCTTCCAAGAGAACATAAATTTCATGATTTGGGCATTGCATCACTTTGATGGGCCATTTGGAATAAACCAAGCTTGTTTTGAGGGCAAAATTGTGAAAACTCATGTTGAAATTGTATGTTATGCATGCTCTCTTATGTGTTATTGCCTTTTTGGGTAAGCCTCTATGCTGAAGTGGACAAAGAAGAGTTAGCAGAAGGTGAGAACGCCATACTACATATTGTGTCAAAGTTGCTCACTAAACCAAAGCTAATCAAGGCTAGTGATGAAGCAGTTGCAGGATGTTGAACATCAAGGTGATGAAGATTAAGGACCTGACAGATGTACGTGAAGTCAGTGATGTAGCTGTGATTCTGTTGTGTTTTTGATGTAGTTCGTAAGATGGAAACATGTAGCCCCCAATCTTTGTCTGGTTTGCTTTTGGTCTGCTATGTCATCTAAATTAGATAGGCACAGAATACAGGGGATGTCTGATTCAAGTTTAGTCAATATCCTTTTCTTGGCACGGTTCTCTGAACTATCTTGAAACTATATTATTTCCATTATCTGAGTAATGGAAACGAGGAGTACCTTAATTTGAAGAAAAAACACCACACATTGAGACATTCTCGCGTTTGCTTGCATGCACACACCCATGGTCAATTAAACATGATCTATGGCGATCACGATTATTCATGACTCATGAATTTCTTGTGCAAGCGGCAAGTGCAGTGGAGTTTGTCGCACTCCTTCTCACCTTCCTCTTTAGAGCCTACTCGGTGGCTACAGCCGTAGCCGTTTTTTCCTACAGTAATTAATGAGTGAAAAAAAAACGGTTATGGGTGCTTGCACGCCTTCTCCTCTTTCTCCCTCGCGTTCCCCACCGCCGCCTCTCACTGCCTAGCTCCGACATTTTCACTCTCCATCGTCGTCCTTAACCACGTCTGTGTCTAACCCGAGCTTCTCTTCCGAATCCGGCGTGAGCACCCCCGTCTCCACAATCTCACTTGCTACAACAACGCATGGTAGCCTTCACCGCCGCCGTCGCCGTACTAATCTTAATCTTCCTCTCCTCCTTTTTATTCGGCCGCCCCCGTCCTTTGGACTGGCCAATCACGGCCCTGGCCCCGCCGCTCTTTATCACTGTCTCAACCGCCACCACGGCTGGTCGAATGACCTTTCTAAAACCCTCTTCTAAGCCGGCAGTCATTTAAGCCCTCTTAACCCCTGACGAAGCCCCGAACACTAACGCCGGCGAGATCTCTCCGGCTACACCCGGTGTTCTCTCTCTCTCTCTCTTTTCCGTCGGAGGCTGAAGCGCATTCGCGTGCTCGTGCGGACAGAAGCTTTCGCGCTCTTCTAAGTTATTACGCGGGTGGGGATCGGAGAGTGAACACTCACGCTTCCAGGACCCTGGTCTGCTCGGGAGTGTGCCTGTGGCAGCTCTTCCTCCTCTTGCTGCCCCCCGCATCTTCATGGCCTGCTTCCTCCCCGGACCATGCACCGCCGGACTGGCTTCCCTGCCCGGTGTTCTCGCTGCTGATCTCCGCCGCCTCGCCTGGTCGAAGGCCGCCGCCTCTTATCCCGCCATGGCCCTCGCCGCCGTTTTCCACCTCATCACCGCGAGCCGCCGCTGGTTCGTTCCGGCCGAACGGACCCGCCTGCACAGCGAAAACAAAACGGCTGGCATGTCAAGAAGCTACAGGATCATATTCGTATACTGCCATGCTCTTCTAATTCCTATGTGCATGATGAAGAAGAAGATAGAGTAGATCGTTGGTGACAGACAAGAGAGAGCGAGAGCGAGAGCGCCGGAGCTGGGAGGATCTCCGGGGTGCGCGGTGGTTGACGGCCACTGGATCCCATATGCCCGGCCCTGGAGCGGCGGAGTTAGCCGGAGACAGTCGTTGCTAGTCGCTACGTTCACGATGCCAGAAAGCAAGGGCTGGCTATATAGTGCAGGGACGAGCTCGGGGGCCCGGCCCTTGTTTTTGTAGGCTTCAGGGCAAGTTTGACCGCTAGCTCGATCGGTTGGCATGAAGGGGAAGGGAACAAAGCAAAACGACGTCAGATATCTGCAGACAGCAGATAGAGGTAGTGTGTGTCTGCGTGCGTGCCGGGAGAGGCCAGTGGTGGAGAGTCTGTTAGCGATTGAATGTTAGCTGCTATGTTGCAGATGACGACGGTGCAGCTTGAATGATGGTTTGCAGTGGCTGCCTTGTGGCTGGACTGGAGCAAATAAACCAGTGGCTGCCGTCGTGGATGGTTCTGGTTCTGATCTTCTGGACATATTGGCACTGTTCGTTTTCTGTCTTCCTGATGAACCCAGCCTAGGCGGCTGTGGCCGCCAGCTTAATAAGACACAAGGCACTGTTGCCACAGTGATCAAAAGCAGCCAAAATACAAGCCGCCGAGAAGAATCCCACTCCCACCTGCTCTCTACTGCTGTAAATGAGCTCGCGCTGTGCATTACCTATCTTGCTGCCAATATGGACGTCACATGCCTCGCGTGCCTTTTGCTCTCCCACGCAGAAATACAAAGTGGTCCCTTGTTTTCCTATTTTTATATAGGGGGAAATCGACGAAAATGCTGGGTTCATTGAGTTCTATGGACCTAGTAACAAGCCCATTGATTTTTTTTTTCCGAGAACGTGCTTAGCATGTATTTTATTAAGGAGGAAATTTAGAGTTTACAGAGCGACTAGCACAACGAGATGCCATTGTGCAAGGCGCGGGCGGGCATTACAAGAAGCAATTATACGAAAAACAGCTTTGCGACCAAAGAACTACGGACTACCTAACTGCCCCACGCCAAGAAGACCGACATAGCTCCGAAGCCCGCACCCATCCAAGCATTTGCCTCGTCGATGATCCTGGAAGAGCACAGGCGGTGACATTGACTCGGCTTGAAAGATCCTGCGGTTGCGCTCCTTCCACAGCTCCCAGGTGACCAAGAGAGTGATGGAGTCGAATCCGCGGCGGCAGTGGTGTGGAACCTGCGTACGAAGCCCGGAGCCACCAATCCACCAACGTAGCGTCTGGAGGTGGGGATAACTGTGCCAAACCAGCCACCCGAAGCACAAGAAACCAGATTTCACGACTGAAGACACAAGCCCATTGATTAATTGAACAAATGCTTTCAGTATATCAGCACTTATTGTGAAACAGTGAAAGCGTTGCATGACCCGTAGGACCAACATAGTACTACAAAAGAAAGACTATCCAAATGGGGAAAAGATACTTCTACAGTTAGATTCTATCCCGTTGGTGCTATTGATTCTTATGCTTTTTTTTAGCAAAGTTCTTATGCTTATCGCCTGGTTTTCTTGAGAAATGACAAGATGTTACTCGTGCTCCCATGGTTGGCCTTCTTCTTCTGATCACCTAGAACAATGTGAACATCCTGCCAAAAGTACAAAGAAAACAATCTTGTTCTGATCAGCATAAACCATCACAAAAATCTTTATACAATTTTAATAGCGTTTGATCACTTTGTGGTGTCTGTACAGTGTAGTGTCAAGACAACATATTAGATAGGACATAGTATTTAATTATGGCATAAGGTACCAGCTTTTCTGTATATAGAAATGAAATATACCTCTGCTCTAAAAGAAAATGACATTCTTATGGTCCTTGGGCTGTCCTCAGAATTTGCTGATACCACAGTATGTTCTTTTCCTAGTAAGAATTGAACGGACATAGAAGATCTATCATGATTCAAGGAAATGATAATGGATGAAAAAACATACAAGATTAACATATACTTTTTATCTTATTATTAAGCCTCAAGTAGAATTGTAATAATACATTGACATAAATTTCAAGGCATACTACAATTTGTTTTTTTTTTCTACAAAGACGTACAGTATTGTCCCCTCTGTTGATGAGTTTAGCAGTTTATGGTCAGGCTCTTGCTAGTTGCTACAGAATAATTATTCAAATACCATTGCCAATTTTTTGCTAAGCTGTTTCTTTAAAAGAATGAAGATAACCATAAGGGATCACTTAGAGGAACAACACTATACTATAATCTTATATAAATATGGACATCATACTACATATTAGTATTACCGATGGCTGGTTGAACATCATATGGCTTAAGAAAGAGGGTAGCTCCAGATACTGTTGGGCCAGTAATTTCCAGAAGCCGTGGATCATTTTTACTATAAATAAATATAGCAAAAAAAAACATTAAATGGTGCAGGCCATACGCAAAATAACAACAAAATGATCAAAATTAACAAGTAACAAAGAAAAACCTGGAGCCAACACTGTTTCCCAGTTTGGATATTTGAGTAGCTGTTGAAAAATATAGCAGCGATCAAATCAATGATAACATTTTTTAACGAACCATCAAAAACAATAATACAACCGGTATATTTTGAAATAATTGAGCAAAATGAAACTGAATAAAAAGGTACACTGTTCAAAAACAAAAGTATGCAATCCCTGTTTGCTATTTGGATGGACCAAAAGATGATGTATATATGGAAATAAATAGTATAATTGATACTAAACTTGTGTGACTAGAAATATACAGACAGGAATCACAGTAGACAATTTGAATACAAAATAAACAGGAGAGCTGCTTATCTTTCCATTAAGAAAAGAAATAATGTCTAAGAACAATACAATAGGGCAAAATCATGAGACACCCGACAAATTGTAAGAAAAAAACCATTAATAAGATGTTTGTGAATTTGAATACAAATAAACAGGAGAGCTGCTTATCTTTCCATTAAGATAAGAAATAATGTCTAAGAACAATACAATAGGGCAAAATCATGAGACACCCAACAAACTGTAAGAGAAAAAACATTAATAAGATGTTTGTGCTAGAAACTAGAACTACCAAATCAGAACACAACTGATCCACAGGACAATACAAAAATACGCTAATTGCATATGGAATGTTATAGTCTTTCATTTCTCTGATGAATATTTGCTAAGGGAAACTAAATTTTCGTTTCAAAGATAGGTAAATTGCTCTAGTTGCAAGCATGGATGCTAATGGTTCAGTAAAATGTGGGATACAAGCAAAAGTAAGAAGCTTTACATTGCGAGATGTAACGACGATGATATTGAATGGCATCAGGGTCCCCTCGTACAGTCAAAAGCTTCAGAGAAATGGCATACTGTTCGCATGTCAAAAGCCTCTGGTGCCATGAACAGACCATAAAAAAACAGTAAATCATTAATGTGTCATTTGGTCTTTGCTCATTGGCAGTCATCGTAATTTTAGTAATGAGTACTTCTTCAATTGGAAATTGGAGTCTGTTAATCAGCATTTTACTTTGCAAGTATATAAATAAGAGAAGTCCAACCTGCTTCAAGAAGTTGATCTTTCGTTCTGTCAGTGCGACGTCAGTCTTCTCCTGCAGCTTGTGCTCAAGCTTGGATGAAACAGTCCCCAAGTGATCAATCACAGCTACCACGGCGTCACATATGTAACCCTTTGTACCCTCCAGAATCCTTCACATGCATGAAAGCAGAGCACACACATAATAATTCCATCAAAGAAGAAGTGACGTGCCGTGAGGACCAATGTGTTCGTGGGGTAGCAGCATGAGGGTAGCAGACTAGGGGCGGCGGCGGCGCTGCTTACAGCTTCTTCTTGTCGGTGTTGAGGAACGCCTTCTCGCAGCAGTCCGCCGCTTCGTGCAGCTGGGACCGCAGATCCTTGAGCTCCTGCACGGCCCAGGACGGCAAGACGCGACAGCCCGTAAGCTTACCAACAAGTCATGGCAGGACACACACGAGACACGACACACCCGAGCAAAACTGACGAACCGCTTAACGTACCCTAAGCGCGCCGTCGAAGGTCTCGGCGCCGGGCGCGCCTAGACGCGACGACGACCTGTCGAACGGCATCGCCGCCGCGGTGCTCGTGGACACCGCCCCTGGCTGCTGCATCCCCGCCTCGCCGGCCTCAGCGTCCATCTCCGACCCTCCCTGGCTCCCTCCCTCCCCACTCACTCCCCGCTCGCGGCGCCAAGCAAATGCCTGAGGCGGAAACCAGGACGAGAGCACGGTAGCAATGTGTGTCGCCGCTCCCTCAGCTTCGGCGGCTTCACAATGAGTGCAAGCTAGCACAGAAATGGCATATGCAGACGAGCGCCAAGTGGGCGTTCGGGGACAAATAAGCCGGGGGCAAGGAGCCAAGGCGCCCAGGCGGTCGCGTGACCTCCCTTTGGCGCGGGGCGGCGGCTCCGCACAGGGAGGCACACCGCCCACGCGATGACGCGAAGACGACGGGGTTTCTCGTGGCGTGGAAGCGCGCGTCCCTCCCCGAGGACCGAGAGGCTCGGACGCTCGGACGGCGCGGCGCCGTGCACAGGGCTCGTCACGGGCGCGCTGCTACTTCCTCTTTTCTTTGGGACGAATGGCGCGCTGGTGCTTGCGAGGCTGCTGCAGCTGCCAGCAGCCGGTGCCGGTTGGATTCTTGTGTCTAGCGTTTTGTTTAGTTTCAGGCAGCACGTGCCCATCCTGATTAAGGAATGTGGTGTTTGTTTAGTGGCTCCATCTCCATCACCGACCGGAGAGTCCCCGAATCCCTACAGTATAGAGCTTCTTTGTCGCCACTGTTCATCAGTGTTTACACCTCCCATCTGGCGGGGCGACGAATCGAAATACGCGCGCAAGTCAGGGGGTAATCTGCAAACCAGACATCTGATGTTGCGTTAGTGGACTAGAGAGCTCCGGTTCACATCCGGTGCCGTGCGGCGCAGCAAGACGTCGGAAGGCCAAGCAGTTCTTCGTGTTCCTCCACACGCGTCGCCCATCGCCGCGTGCCTCTCAATCCCGGCTCGTTCTGCAGCGATTGTCGCTTGTGCGCAGCCATGATGGCGTGTGCCCTCGCCGTCGCCCAGCCTGCGGCATCTCTCGCGCCATCCGGCAAGAGGAGCCTCTCCGGCGGCCGTCCCCCACGGCTGCCATCTCCCAGGCTTTCAGGTAAAATTGCCTTCAGATGGGCTGCTGTTTATTCCTCCTGGTTAATCTGCATAGAGGCCTGATGCGAGAGTTCACATGCATCATTGTGTTCTGCAATGTGTGCGTGGTGCAGACAAGCTAAGGAGCCGCAGTGTCGTTGCCAAGGCTGCGCAGGACAGTTCAGAATCATCCGGGAGCATAGTGAAATACGTCACGACTTCTGTGAGTTTCTTGTCCTGGTGACTTGTGAGTCATGACTCATGAAAAGCTATTTAGCCATATCAAGCTTGAAGTTTGAGCTTCTTCAAAAGGGCCAAAAATTTCTTGCTCTCTTATGAATGTGCTGCGACTTGCCTCGTTGTCTTCAGTGTAAACTGTGTGGCTGTTGGCTAAGCAAATTTGGCCTTTCTCAAGATTGGGTGCTACTACTTACAACTTAGCTGGGGACATCATACTGACAATGCAGAAAACGGATCCATGTTTGCAGTTTTGAACATTACAAAGCTCACTTCCATGCCCGATGCATCAATCCTGCAGCTTTAGGGTTATGCTTTGTTTGGTGACATTAGTACTTCCATGAGGCACTGCGGAAGACTAACTAAACTCCTATAGTCGTATTGATTATTATTTTTTTTTTCTAAAAACGAATACAGTTCAGCACTGCGGAAGACATTTTTGGTCTAGCTGGTATAGGCTTTGCCGCAATAGCTGCATTATGGGCTTCAGTCAACCTCATTGAGGTACATTCCAAATGACATGTTGCAGCTTTCAATTCCTAACAGATGAGCGTTCACCTACAAGCCACATAAGGTTAATCTGGTCCATGTTTTCGTTCATCTTCAGATCATCGATAAGCTCCCGGTTCTTCCTCTTCTCTTTGAACTAGTTGGGATATTAGTTGCATGGGTAAGTTTTTGTCCCACCTTTAGGCTCCTAGGGTTTACTCTAAAATTTTACCATCTTTTCAAATACTTTATATCATCGCAAGTAAGTTTTCTCGAGCCCTGATTATCAACTCTTGACATTTTCAGCTTTTCATCTACAACAATCTCCTCTTCAAGCCAAAGAGGTAATAACTACTCCTGTTCCATTATGTTCGTTCATACAGCCATGCTATAGGTACGATTGGTCCATCCGATCAACGTACTACCATTAGTCCATTACATACGTGCAAAGCCGCAGCAGGCATGAGACGACTGCCGGACCTCTTAGGATATACTCCCTCGTTTCAAATTACAGGGCGTTTTGGCTTTTAGAGATACATAGCTTTTGCTGTGTACTTAGATATACACTATGTTTAAAAGCAATGTATCTAGAAAAGCCAAAACGTCATATAATTTGGAATGAAGGAAGTATTAAGAGATAGTATCTTTTCAAGAAAAAACATGTGAAATGATTTCAAGCATACCCCTACTAAATAATATGGTACACATCTCTTCTTCAAAGCATTTAACTTCAGGTATAAAGAGGAAACGTACTGCAATAGGACAAACACTATTGACACGTTTGGTTGGAGATAATTGAAAGGAGGGAATGGAAGTTTGGAGCTAGAATTTTAGATTTTTTTTGTTTTTTTGTTTTATGAGAGTGGTTGTTTTGGTGGAAGGAGAATGGGAGTTTAGAGACCAACTCATCAATCACTTCCCTGAGAGGTGGTTGTTGGGTGTGAGTTGTGCTTTTAATGAAAAATGAATGTATCATCAGCCCATTATGTCTTTTCATATAATTTCCTACTTAAAAACACACACAAGATGACAAGATACATGGGATATACATTTTCTCTTCGACTCCCCTTCTTATTCTCTTCACTAACCAAACAAGGAATTTAGACTAGAAGTTAAATTTCCACTTGAATTCTTTCCATCAACTCCCATCGCTAATTCCTATATCCCTTTTCAGTAGTTGCCAAACGTGCCGTGTGAGACAAGTCTGCCAAAGCCATAGGCCAACATACCAAAACGGGAGAGTAATTTAGAAGTAGCCGTACAAATATAAGCATTGTAGTTAACTAGTATTGCTCGATTCATCACGGGTCCTATTTTGCGTTTTGGATTGATTAGTTCATATTATCTGCAGGGAAGAATTTCTGAAGAACATCAAAAACTCAGTATCTCAAATCCTGGGGCAGTAACCTTTGCAGGCGACAGTAGACAGCAAGCATTCTGTCATGGGTTCTCTGCAAGCGTACCGAATGCAATTATGCAATATAAACTGTCTGCAAGCTATGAGTGTTGCCATTTTTTACTCTACACATGCACTACCAATTTTCTGTACAGGTTAGTGTGATTAAAGCCGTTTTCCTAGTACCAAAACTTGGACTGGGACCTCTTGCTGTACGAGTCTAATGAAAGCAGACACCCGGATTCTTCCTGTACTGAATGCTTCGGCTATTCAATTTCACGTACAAGGACGAAGGGGTATTTACATCTGAAATCATGGAAACAGCGCAACAAAGAAGAAAAGATGTCAAAGAGATTACTAATGGCCAGCGGTGAATGAGGACGCCGTTACAATTATCCTGTGGGTTGGCAATCAAACATCACAGTTCACAAGGCAGCCGAAAGTTGTAGAGCCATGGAATCGATGTAGCACATGTCACCTTGGTGCTAAAAAGATCATGCCAGTTCAAAATAACATCAGTGCAACAACGACAGATGGGTTCATCTCTGCATTGATACCTTTTCTTCCTTTGACTTTTGATTTTGAAATAAGCACCCACCCAGCTGTGCTCCTCTTGTAAGCACATCCTCCCCAGCCCAAGTTGTGGTTTGTGTGCAACACGCACACTTTGCAAAAACACAAACAGCAGCTACATCTTGGGTCGAATCAGGTGGATGGCAAATGATAAAATTTCGACAGGAAAAGAAAAGAGAGAAACTACAATGTAGAAAATACGACAAGGTTGAATGCATTTATGACTAAACTAACTATCCAGATTCCAGCATTACACTTATTCTGACCAATGAGAATAAATTTGAATTCTCTAAAATATAAATTATATCTATCAAGACTGATACAGGTATCTGATCAACATGTTAAAGGGGTGAAAGCACGATTCCCTTGATCATTGCAACACCCTGAGTACAAACCTGGAACGCCCAGGCTTCAGTTTTTGTCCAAAAAGCCAGTAACAGGTTTTCCAGCATTACTGCTGGAACTCTGCGGATATGTTTTTACAACAGGTACATCTACTTTTGAATATGGTACTTGAGAAACACCATTTACCTGTCCAGGATAGCCAGATGTTTCAGATTTGATTGCCATGGAGTTCTCTGCAGGGGAGAATAATCAGGATTAAACTCATCCTAGCCCTAGAAAGCAAACAGAAAAGGATGTATCTCTTCACAATATACACTCTAGCCTTCCTAGGTTTACTAATGGATTCTCAGTTCCCGGATAAAATGGAAGAAAGTACTTGTATAAATGAGCTAGCAAGTCACCAAGTTCAACTCTTAAGTCAGACAACACAAGACCATGTAAAACCATTCAGTCAGATGGATCCATATATTATGCAATGCTGGCAAATATCACTGACCGAACTATCTTTCTCTTCTCTTTTTTATAATAAAATAAATTGCACAGTAGGGGCCTCCCCTACTGTATTCCCCCTCTCAAAAAAAATCACTGATGTGAAGTAACAAGATGAGGTCACATGTAAGGATTTCGCATTAGCAATTAGCATGGTGAATAGGAACATTTGGTGTACCTTTCCTTCTTCCTTTTACCACAAACTTGCGGAGGCATTCACGGAATTCTGTCAGCACAACTCTTTCTTGTTCTGCATACAGTGCAGATTGGTTTTGGTTGACAGTTACTGTCTGCTGAGGAACAGCATTTTGAGAAGTCGTAAACACTGTATCTTGTTCGTCACACATTTTCTCGAGCACTTCTTCGTCACACAACAGTGCTAGTGTTCCAGGAGACATAGGTCTATTGGACTTCTGATCATCAGCGCAGTTAGGTCTGGATTCTTCTAGAATAGCTTTGCCCATATGAGTTCCTCTACTTGAATGGTCATCAATTGATGCTTTTTGATCTGGATCTTGATTATTTCCTTCTCTATCATGGTTTGTCAATGCTAGGGAATCTGCCCTGTCATCTTCCTTCTGTCCTCCCCTTTCATCTTCCTTCTCGCCAACCCTCTCTTCCATTGTTTTCCGGCCTGTTACTTTAATAAAAATAATACAATGAGCAGCACATAACCATCCAATTAATGCCCATTTAACCATTTTGCAGACTCTGTTTATAATCCATTAATCCTCTATGTTGTTCTTGGTTGCATTCTCTTAACATACAGTAGTGCATACTTGCAGGTCTCAGGGGGAATGAAATAGTGCTACATGTAATGTGTGTCCATACTTATATTGATAAATAAATATAGCACATTGAAGGACAGAAGTGAAAATATGCAGTGAAACGCTCACAGATGATCTGAGAAACAGAAAGTGTGATTGTACATATCAACTGCTTGCCAACTCTCGTGCAGTTTCAACAGGAAAAAGGCAAATGGTAACCTTGACCATGATATGTAGCGCTTAGTAATTTATAGAGTATAACATAACAGTATATATTAGAGGTAATAGCTGCACATCCAAGCAAAACCCAAATAACTCAATAACAATAAGTATCCCACATTTATTTTCTGCATGGAGAGATGAAGCACTAACACTTTTGTCCCTATATCTTATCTTCTGGTTGTTGTCAAAATAAACTTTGATAAAGCACTTCACCAGCATCCAAATTCCAGGTTCAGGAAATGATGTAAACTTGTAAACAAGTCAAAACAAAAGATCGAATCCAACGTTGAAGCAAGAAAAGAATAACTTGCATGTACACGGGACAAGTTAATATTGAAACAAACAGGTGCTGATCTATGTGAGTTACTTCACTGCATATCAAAATCCACCTTTCCGAGGAGGGCGCTCTCGGTCGTCTCCCTCCCGAGGCGACGCGAGGGCGACCAGCGCCGCCACCCAAAAACCCACCGCTCCCCTCCCCTCCGGCCGTCGCTGCTGCCGTCGGGCGCAGCGGCGGTGCTGCCAAAAGGTCGGCCCGTTCGCACCTTCCTTCCTCCCCTGCTGCTTCTCCCCCACCTCTCTCTTCCCCAAAACGTGAGTGCTTGAGATTCTGCTTCGATCTGCGTCTAAAGCTTCCGATTCGCCGGGAAATTGCTCGATCTGGTGTCGTGCCTGCCGGATCCGCCCTATGCCGGCCAGTGCCTCGCTAGATCTGGGTGGTGGCTGGCGCTCGTGCTCTCCCAGGAGGCCGGCGCTTCCAGTCGCTTGGGTCTGCTGGCCGGCGACGCCGGGCCATCCTCGGCCTCGGACACTACTGTCGGGTCGCCGTTCCTGGAGGAAGTCCCTGCCTCGTGTTCCTGCTGCTGCTGGACGTGGACTACCTCATCTGGAGGTTCCGCTCCAAGGCGGGGCTGCCGGCGACCGGATCTGGTGCTCTTCTTCATGTGCGTGTGCAGGACTCTGGGCGCGCGGTCTGGCCGCGGGCATGCTGGCGGTGGTGCTGCGTGACCATGGTGTCCTTGGGGCGGATCCGGCGACTTCGCGTCCAGATCTGGTGGAACCGCTGCTGTCCTCTCGTTCCCAGGGCACAAATGGTGCTCTGGCAGCAGCTTCTTCTACACGTGCATGCGCGGTGCACGCAGTTTGGCCACGGGCAAGCCGGCGGCGGGGCTGCATGTCCACGGGCGCCCTCCCCTGTGCCTCCTGTCGGGGAGGGCAGAGCGCCGTCTCGGCGGTACGACGGTGGTGGTGGCGGCGTCGGGGTGTTAGCTCTGGGTCCGGATGAGGCAATGTCTGTTGTTGCCTCGTGCGCGAGAGCTTTTGCGAGGGTTCGGGTGAAAGCTCAGCTCGGCGCTAGGTGGGGCCAATGACGAGGGACGCCATCGTGGGAAGCTTCCTTCTTGAAGGCGTCGTGAAGAACCTCTTGCGACTTCGGCCATTCGTGGTTATCCTTGGCACAAGACTCGGGCGAAAGCCTTGCTAAGCTCCCGCTTGGCTAACGATGATTACGCTCTTGCGTGCGTTCACCTCCTGGAGGCATCGTTGAAGAGTCCCCG